GTTAATTCTGTCTTTAGTATGAGGGCATTTAGTCCAAATCTTATGGTTTAAGTTACTTGGAAAGAGAGAGAAAACACAATTGTGGTTGCCAGGGGTTGGGCAGGATGGATAGTTATGGCTATAAAAGGGCATCATGAAAGATCCTTGTGATGATGGAACAGTTCTGTACCTTGACTGTGGTGGTGGTTACATAAATCTTCAAGTGATAAAATTGCACAGAACTACACACAAATGAGTGCATGTAAAATGGGTGGAATTTGAATAAAGTCTTGGAGTATACCAATGTTAATTTCCTGTTTGTGATATTGTCCTATAGTTATGCAAGATGTAATCACTGGGGACAATAGGTTGAAAGGTACATAGTACCTCTGTCTAATAGTTTTTGCAACTTCCTGTGAATCTATAATTATTAAAAATTAAAAGTTTTAAAGAAGTTACTTGGGCTTGTCCCTTCACCCCTGCCCTCACTATTTTATTAATTTAAAATACAGTTAGGTTAATTTATTTGTTTGTATTCCATTTTAGGCACCCCTTTCTCTCCCCCGAACTTCCTTGTTGATTTCTTCTTCTTTTTTTTTTTTTGAGTATGTAAAATATTAACATGGCTCTAAAAAGTTTAAAAGTTATAACTATACAAAAAGGCATACTCAGGGAAGTTTTCACCACCACCACCACCACCATTACCATCCCATCCCATTTCTTTCTCCTTTCTATCCCGTTCCCAACCATGCCATGTATGTAGGCAATTTCATTAGTCTGTGGTTTAACCTTAACTTTGTTTCTTTTTTCACAAATGATCAGAATCATGTATATTTTAAAAAAAGATAAACAAACAAAATTAGACAAAATAAAAAAACTAAATGAAAACAAAACAAAACAAAGAATTGTATATTTTTAGATTTCTCCTTTCTTACAAAAAGATATGTACAGTTACGCATTGCTTAACCACAGGATGCATTGTTAGGTGATTTTGTCACTGTATGAACATCACAGAATGTATTTACACAAACCTAGATGGTACAGCCTACTACATACCTAGGCTATATGGTACAGACTATTGCTCCTAGGTTACAAACCTATATAGTGTGTTACTGTACCGAATACTGTAGACAACTGTAACATAATGGTAAGTATTTGTGTATCTAAACATATCTAAACATAGAAAAGGCACAATAAAAATACAGTATTATAATCTCATGGAACCATCATCATACATGCAGCCCATCATTAATGAAAATGTTGCTATTTGGTGCATGACTGTATATTACCGTACAAACTCTTTTGTATTTTACTTTTTTTTACTTAATGATATATTTTAGACATAAGTTTATAGAAATTTTCCTCTTATTTTTAATCTTTTTATAGCCGCATAATACTCCATCATGTAGATGTACCACAGATATTCAACCAGTGTCCTATGTATGAGCATTTGGGTTGCTTTCAATAGTTTGCAATTACACACATTGCTATAGTGAACATCCTTGTGCATATGTATTTTTGAATTGTTAGAAGTGTGTCTTCAGGGTGAATTCCTAGACATGAGATTGCTGGGTCAAAAGGTAAATGCACACTTAGTTTTGTTAGATATTGCAAAATTCCCCTCCATAAGGCTTGTACAATTTTTGCATTCCCATCAGCAATGTATGAGTACCCACTTTCTCACAGCCTTACTAATGGAGTTTATTATTGTTCTTTTTAATTTACTTTTCTTCACATATGAGTGAGGTTGAACATAAAATTACAGATCAATATCCCTTGTAAACATAGATACAAAAACCCTTAACAAAATATTGGCAACTTGAATCCATCAATAAAAAGTATAAAATATCACAACCAAGTAGGGTTTTTATTCCAGGAATGCAAGGTTGGTTTAACATTAGGAAATTAATCAATGGAATTCACTGAATCAACAGAATATAGTAGAAAAATTATGATGATCTCAATACATACAAAACATATATTTGCTTAAAAACACTCAGTAAACTAGAAATGGAAGGAAACTTGCTCAATCTAACAAAGGGCACCTATGAAACCTATGAAAACCTCTACAGCTATCATATTTAATGGTCAAAGACTGAATGTTTTCCCCAAGATCAGGAATGACATTCCAAGGATATCTGCTCTCACCAGTTCTCTAACATTCTACTGGAGGTACTAAGCCCATACAATAAGGAAAGCAAAAGAAGCAAAATGCATACAGGTTGAAAAGGAATATGTTAAACTGTCTTTATTTGCAGACAACATGATTGGGTATATAGAAAATCCTAAGGAAACAACAACAAGAAAGTCCTATTAGAATCAATGAATTTATCAAAGCTGCAGGATTTCTACATATTACCAATGAACCACTGGAAAATGATAGGTTACACAAGTGTATGCATTTGTCAGGACTCACTGAATAATACTTTTTATATAATCTAATTGTATGTAAATTATACCCAAACTTTTTTTTTTTTTTAAAGATGACCGGTAAGGGGATCTTAACCCTTGACTTGGTGTTGTCAGCACCACGCTCAGCCAGTGAGCAAACCGGCCATCCCTATATGGGATCTGAACCTGTGGCCTTGGTGTTATGAGCACCGCACTCTCCCGAGTGAGCCACAGGCCGGCCCTATACCCAAACTTTAAACAATTAAAATAAATGAAGGTAAAGGCCAAATAAACAAATTTTCTAGTATAATTTGGGTGGGTGGTCAATTTGCTCATTCTGAGAGAATTTTAAAGTTCACCAGGTTTTATTTAAATTATTTTTGTCTGTTTTAAGTCTAAATTTGTTTATAGTTACCCATTCCTTAGATTTCCCATCTCTCACCAGAATCCGGGCTTAAATGAATACATGGTATGGGAGGAGGACCCAAATGAAATACTCCTGACAAAGTGTTAGAGCAAGGATGGCATTCATGTGTGCTTTCTTTTGTTTGACCCTACAACATATTGCCTCCTTTAAACACTGAACTTGGGATTAAGCAGCCCTGGGTTTGAATTTGGATTCTGAATCTTATTAGCTGTATAGCTTTGGGCTAGTTATTTCATTTTTTTTTTTTCCTTTTTGTCTCTTTTTTCGTGTCCGGCAACGGATCGCAACCCTCAGTGTTGCTCCCACCCCTCGCTCCGCCAGTGAGCGGGAACCGGTCTGTATGTGGGATCCGAACCCTCGGCGGGAGCGCCACCGCGCTCCCAAGCGGCGCACTGTAGCAGTGCGCCACCAGGCCGGCCCTAGTTATTTCATTTTTTTGAGTATTTTTCTCATTCATTAAGTAGGCATAACATTATCAGGTTTCATAAAAATAAATGAGATAATGTGACAATGACTGGCACATTGTAAGGACTTAATAAATGTTTGTCTTAATCTTTTTTTTTTGGTGGCTGGCTGGTATGGGGATCCAAACCCTTGACCTTGGTGTTATAATACTGTGCTCTAAACAAATGAGCTAACTGGCCAGGTCTGTTTATCTTAATCTTAATGGGGTATTTTAATTAAGTCCTGTTACAGTACTATTTGGTATGATATTTTCTTCTAATATAAGAAACCAGAGCTGCCCAAGAGTAATCTTGGTTGCCAGGTGGGAGCTTAGTGATGGGGATGGGAAGCAGCCACAGAGCTAATGAAGATGTACTGCAGACAAACATACACCATCATTTCCCTAAAGGTCACCATATAATGGTTCTCATAGTTATTACCTGCTCCAGCAACTCTTCATGAATTCATATTCATTCCAGTTTATTTTTCTTCCTTTGGATTTTAAAATTACTGGTTCAAGAAAGGAATCATTGGCCCTAGCCAAAAACTCCATTTCTTTATTTTTCTTTTCTTTGGGGGGGGTTCTGGCCCATGTGGGGATCTGATCCCTTGACCTTGGTGTTATAACCCTGCACTCTAGCCAGCTAAGCTAACTGGCCAACCCTCTCTATCTCCTTCTAATGAAATGCTTTACTAATTCATGCTTAAGGAAACTGAATTCCTTATTCTCACCATCTGGGCTCATTTTAAAAATTCTTATTATTTATTATTAACATATTCATTATTATAAACTGTGATTTTTCTTTATGCCCTTTATCTGATCTATCACTCCCCACACCCCCTCCTTCCCTCCCATCTCTAGCATCCTTAGGTTTGTTCTCTCCTTCTGTAAGTTCAACGTATTGTTGTGGCTCCTTCCTTCCCTCCCTCCTTCCTTCCTTCCTTCTGTCCTTCCTTCCTTTCTTCCTTCCTTCCCTCCCTCCTTCCTTCCTTCCTTCTGTCCTTCCTTCCTTCCTTCCTTCTGTCCTTCCTTCCTGACTTATTTCACTTAACATAATTTTCTCCAGACTTATCCATGTTGATATCTGGGCTGGTTCTATAGGTCCAAATCTCTTCATTCTTGGGTAAGTTCTTCCCCTAATATTAGCTGTGTGTCTATTTCAATAATTCATGAAGCCTTTAGTGAACAATTATTCCAGGCCCTATGGGTGAGGGTCAGAGAAGAAGCTGAATAGTTGAATCATGAAGGATGAGTAAAGCTGTTAGATAAGTTCTTCCCCTAATATTAGCTGTGTGTCTATTTCAATAATTCATGAAGCCTTTAGTGAATAATTATTCCAGGCCCTATGGGTGAGGGTCAGAGAAGAAGCTGAATAGTTGAATCATGAAGGATGAGTAAAGCTGTTAGACAAATGGATAAGGTAGGGAAATTTAGGCTCCATTTAGGGTATCTTGCCTCTTCCCAAGAAATTATGCCTCAGTTGCAAATAATAATTAGTTGAGAACTTCCTTCTTTGAAAAGGTCAAAGAGATAGGAACAATGCCTCTACTCCTTTTTTCCTATTTTAACTATGGTTTGGGATTTTCTCTTTTGATTTTTGTTGTTGTTGTTGTTTTCTTTGTTTTTGTTTTGGCGGTTTTCTTTTTTGAAATACTGTTCCCAGCAGACAGGATAGATAGAAAAGTTAATTTAAGAAAAATGATGTCCTAGAAGTTCTTTTTTTTGTAAATGAAAAAGAAAAACAAAACCGTGACTCACCTCTGACTCCTCTCAGGAATGTCCAGCACAAACCCAAACATCATTTCAGCAATTTTATTGGAGCTGCAGGTGGGGGTCCTGTCCACCTCTACGGCTATGGACAGCATCCTCTGAAGCTGGCACACAATCCTGAGTCCAGAACATAGGACACAAATGAGTGGTTGGGTCTGGCAAGGAGCTACCCTATGGCTGGGAGGAGGTCCCCACCAGTGTACATCGAGAACAGAGACTACTAAAGGATACTGGAACGCATACACAAAGTCAGGGAGAACTATTCAAGCCATCAGCATGCTTTCATTTAGCCATTTTACCTACCTGAATCCCCTTTGTCAGATCATACTATCTGAACCTCTCAGAACCTGGGGTTGAGCTGCAAAAGCAAGCTGCTTTTAAATTAAAAAATAGAACCATACCGTCTTAAGGATCTAAAGAACTTAAAGTTTTCTCTAATCTGTAACTTCCTTATTCTATAGATGCAGAAACAGGTCCAGAGAGACTAAAAATTATTTAAGTTTCTTTAATTCAGGAGAAAACATGCATGTGCCACATAGTTTTCTCCTGTTACTAGTTCCTCTACAACAGTTTCTTACCAAATTCAGTCTCAGAATTTCCACTGGTAGAGCCTGACTTTGTCCCCCATCAGACCTAACTGTGGGAGACAGCCAGCCTGATGCAACATTAGAATCTGGGCAACCCCTCAGAAAGGTGAGCCTGGCCTGACGTCAGCCTTTTCTAACATGTATTATTTGGGATGGGTGATAGGGTGTTGTTTTCAGAAAATCAGCAGCTAGTGACACAATAGGCAGACCTGGGGCTTTGGCATAAGATTCTGGCTCTACAATGACAAGTCGTTCAACCTTCAACAAGTTACTAGACTGCTCTGAGTCCAAATCTTCTTATGTATAAAAAGGGGAAAAAATACTGTCTATTTCATAAAGTTATGAGTGATGTGTAAAACATCTGGCAGAAAGGCACTCATTATTAGTAAATGGTAGTGCCTATTATTGTCGCTGATAAGATTATGATAAAGTTAACTTTTAGAGAGCCCTATTGTTATTTCTTATAATATTTACTTTTAACAAATTTATTATGATTATTATTATATAAGATTAACTTCCATCGAAGGAACAGTATCTGCCTCCTTCTTGGTTCTGTATACAGAACCTCTGTGATAACCTCACGTTAGGGCTTTCCCCAATCTACCCAAGCAAACGCTTCATTGTTCTAAAACATTCCCCTTTTAGATTCAAGATTGTCTCAAATTAGTTGGAATCTGTAGGCCTTATATGAAAATCACGTTGGTGAAACTAGTTTATAATACAGCATTGTGAATTTAGATACAAATGCTATATTTGAAATGTCAAGCATGATTGGCTTTTAACAATATGATTGACATGGAATACCAAGTTACTGGTGCAAGGGCAGCCCCCAAAAATGCCTCTCAAAAAATGCCAAGACTGCTCTCAACTCCATAAAAGAAATGCCATGAATCTCTTTACAGTGTAGTCTGAGGTAATGGGGCCTGCCCTGGTCTGAGCCATTGCTGTTATACCTGTTGGAACCTGCAGGTTGAACTGCTATTTTTCCTTCCACGACTGTGGGAGAGAAACATAGGTCCTTGAGGACTTGAGGTTGCCAGAACACCCACTACCTACTACTCCTTCTCTATGTCAGTGAATACCTGAAGCGATGAGTAGCTGTAACCCTTTATTGATTTTTGGGATCCAAGAAAAGGAGGGCAGTGTCCTCCAGCTTTTGTTTCACTTCTGCTCTGTGAGTTTGTATTCACTTTGTGAAGTCCCATTCATCTAGGGGTGAAAGCACCTGCTTTTGTTCTACCTTTGGAATTAGAAATTTAGCCTTTAGCTAAGGTAAATCTTTAATAAGAGTCAGTCTATGTTACAAGACCTTGTTAATCTGAGGGAAGCTGCTCTTAGGGGATGGTGCTGTTCACTAAAACAAGAAATTCCAACAACACTGGGAAGGACAACTTCTGCCTGCCCCTTACAGTTGATTGGTGTTCTTTGTCAGGTTAGGCTGGGGAGAAGGATGGCTACTGCTGGCCTTTAAGATTCCTGTTCCTGAAGAGGTTTGATTCACATTTGGGGACTGAGTTAATCCATCTTCAGTTACTGCTTTGACCAGCCACTTGATAACATCCCTGCAATGGAAAAAAGATCAGAAAGAAAAGTTTCAAACTTCTGTCATATTTGTGATGCTCGAGACTGCAGCCTTAACCTGGGCTCCAGACCCCTACATTTCCCTAAAGGCAACAAAGGGAGCCCCCTTAGGCAATTTTCAATATTTAAACAAAACTAATGGAAACTTCACATTTAATTCCAGTAAGGCTATAAAAGCTAACTGAAATATCAACATTTTTCTTTGAGTTATACTTATTGAAAGGTACCTCTGGGGTCAAAGAGCCTTAATCTGTGGCTTACTGACCAGGAATATTCCTTAACCAGGTAGAAAGTTGGACTGGATGACCAAAAAGTCTTTGCTGGCTCTCTATTATTAGATATCGTTTATTTATGCTAATAACTAAGGTTTAGAGAGTGTGCACTGGAGTCACATTTTATACAGGTCTTAGGCCCGACAAGCTAGTAAGGTAAAAACATTTCACATGGGCAATATTACTTTTGATGATCACTTAGGTAACCCAGGTAAAAATGGTGAATTGAATACACACACCTAATTTTGTTCCCTCCTTAAACTCCACTAATACTACAGTAAATAATTTTTAAAAGTATCCACAAAGAAGAGGAGAAGAGAAGAAGAGATAATAGCAGAGAAACTTTAAAAGCTGGAAGGCAAGTGAAGTATACTCACAAAATAGAATGTTACATAGTAGTTAAATTGAATAAGTGACAGGAAACAATATGGACAAATTTTAATTTTACTTATAAAATACTAAGTGAAAAATAAAAGTTTCAATGAATTACATACAGCATGATACCTTTTAATATAAAGCTAAAAGGAACTAAAATAAAAATACATACTTTATAGAAACACATGTATATGCAACAAAACTACATAGAAAGGAAGGAAATGAGATGATAAACATTCAGGATGATGATTACTTCGGGTGCGGGGAGTTGTAACGGTGGGAAATGGATGTGTGGCTAGATTCAGGTAATTGTCAAGGTCCTAGTCTTTGATATGGGAGGTAGGTTAAGAGATACTGACTACAAGATTAAATGTAACCAATTAACTAAGCAAATAAGGCAAGTGTGTTATGTTTTAAGAATGATGTTTAATCCAAGTCTATGACTTTTGCAAAGGGATAAATTTTAATTGACTTAGCATCATTGAGAAAGCTGAATCCTAAGCCATAAGTAGAGGACAATCCTATTTAAGCCTGTTTACCAAAGAAAAGAAAAATCTTCAAGAAGCTCTGCAAATACCAGCTCTTAAGTTTTCCTGAAGTAAGAGTGAAAGTGGGCAAGTTAAAATAAGCAGAATGGCTTGAAGCCTGTTTAAAAAACATTTAGACCCCTAGATCTTCTTCCTCAACCCTGAAGACTACAGGTTAACTTTGCGGAGAGGTAAAACAGAGGGCCTCTGAACTGGGATACCAGGCACAGCTTGGAGGCAAAGGCACTGAAGCAAACAGGGGCACTAAATAAATATATGCATTCTGGATGCAGAGATCCTTGCCATTTTCCCACACTTGTCTTCCAAAGACTTGGCATTACTGTGTTTATCCTTCACATAGGAAATTAGAAGTCTTTTCTGGAAAACCCAACCAGTCCATGGGGAAAGACCTAAAGACAAGGAGCATTTTCTAAGAAATGGGAAACCAGTTCCACCTACAGGGAAGTACAGAAATGACAAGTCCTCCCATATCCTCAGAGCTTCCCTCATCTTTTTTAAGCCTCTTCTATAAGCATGAATAGACTACCATGGTTTAATAGACATAATGAGAAGCTTTTAACATGAGAGAGACCAAAACAGCCAAAACCAAAAAAAAAAAGAAAAAAGAGAGAAAAGAAAAGAAAAAAAGCAACTTGGAGAAAACATATTCTGCAGAGAATCAGAGAATAAACAAAAATGAAAATCTATCATTAGCATCATCAAGGATGAGATGATATGGATCCAGGGAAGAAGAAACAAGAACAGAATACTATTTATTAATTTTAATAAAGAATATGTAGTGAAAAGAATAAAAGAGCTCTTAGAAATTAGAAACATGATAACAAAAATGAAAAACCCTATTTTTATTTTATTATTATTTTTTTGTTCTTTTTTTTTGTGACCAGTAAGGGGATTGCAACCCTCCCGCGCTCAGCCAGTGAGCGCACCGGCCATCCCCATATAGGATCTGAACCCGTGGCGGAGCACTACTGCGCTCCCAGCGCCGCACTCTCCCGAGTGAGCCATGGGGTCAGCCGAAAAACCCTATTTTTAGAAATGAAGATTTTTCCAGACTGAAATGGCCCACTGAATGCCCAACACAATGGATGAATATAGATCTACAACAAGCACACTGGGCAAAAAGGGGACTTTACAAACTTCCAGAGGACAAAACTGGGGCACATACAAAGAATCAGTAACCAAAATAGCTTCTGACTTCTTAACAGCAATTCTGGAAGCTAGAAAATGAAAGATTTCCTTCAAAGTTCTATACAATAGTTATTTCTATACTCAGCTAGATAAAATTCTTTGAGAAGATGAAGGTGTATTCAGACACAGAAGATCTCAAAAAACTTTACTTCCCACATGCCTTTCTTAGGAAGCTACTAGAGCCTGATTCTTCAAAATGAGGGAGTAAATCACAACAGAGAAAGACACAAGACAAACAAAAAACCAAATAAATAAGAGATGCAACACTGGAAAGAGGTAAAGGGAATTCTCACACTTATGATAACAACCGGCAAAGAGGACAACCAAGGCTTCTGGTCGAGATGGTGGAAATAGTTCTCGGCGGCACTCTCTCCCATAAATCAACCAATTTACAATGATTAAAAAGCAATGACAGCCAAGCTGGGGCCGCTAGAACTCAGAGGAAGAGGAGGAGAGACCTAAGGAGTGCATGAAGGTGGGAGAAGCCACGATGAGAGAAAGAAAAAACCACTCTGACCGTTTTGCATCATGGCCGCTTTAAGGCTGGAGCTGCTTGGAGGCGGCAGGGAAGAAGAGGGCCTTGGTGGTTCCCAGGCCAGTAGTACCACCAACACGGTTCCTGTGGACCCACATAGGACCGAGGAGCCACAACAACTGAAAAAAAGGAGCCACTCAGAGGATGGTGAGTCATCACAAGGGACTGGAGCACGGCCCATCCCATGGGAAGTGTTTGGAGTACGGGTAGTGGGGGAGACAGGCCCACTGGGAGAACACTGGGACACAGTAAGGACAGCTGTAGGATCACTCAGAGGAGACTGGTCAGGAATTTAGAATTGCAAGGGGTGCAGTTTGATGAAAAGACTCAGGCCCAGATCAGTGTTTCTATACAGCCTGGGTGCACCGGATTTCACCAGATCTGGAAGTATCTATCAAGTCAACCATTAAAACCCAAGCTGCACAGAAAGTATCCTCTAGGGAATCAGCAGCAAAGCAGCAATTTAGCTCAACCACAGAGCTCAAGTACTGGTCCCCACAAGAAGTCCCCCCATTTTAGAAGTAAGCAAAGGACAACAAATTAGTTCTAGTGCAGAGTTTAAGTGGTGGGAACAGTAAATAATCCAACACAGAACTAAAAGAAAAAACAAAGTACCCACAACCAGAAACAAAGTTTTATAAATCGTAAGGGTCTCATTTCACCAAACAACTCTTATAACAACTGGAAGGACTGGAAATCCTTTGCGCTACCAAGCCAGGAAGCGGGCAGGGCCAGGGGCCTTAGCCATGTCCTCCAATACCCACAACCAGTGCCAAGGATGGGGGCCTTGGGCCTCGGCCATACCCCCTGACAAGTGCAACCACCTCAGTGACAACCACCATAGGAAATGCCCCAGGCTCTCCTGAGCCAGGGTGGTGGGGGGCCAAGGGCCTCATCCTCCCCCTGCCCCCCGCACGAGCAACCAGCCCAGCAGTGACCACCAAGCCATAGCAGGAGGCGTCCCGGCCTCTCCTGAGCCGGAGTGGCAAGGGCCCACGGGCCTCATCCACACCCCTCCCCACCCGGCACAAGTAACCAGCCCAGCGATGCAGCAAGCCTCAACAAGAAGGGCCCCAGGCTCCTGAGCTGGGGTGGTGGGGGGCAAGGGCTATTGCCACACACCCTTGACATCTGCATCTAGCCTGGCAATAACCAAGCCACCGCTGGAAACCCACTGGTCTCCTCTGTGGGAATGTGGGGGGTGCCACAGGCCTCAATCCCACCCCTCCTCCTTCCTCCTTCTTCCATCCCATTTCCTTCCTCTTTCCCCCTCTCCCTCTCCCTCCCAACTGCTCCACAACAACATCATAGAATGTAAAAAAAAAAAATTAATAAAAATTAAAAAAAAAAAAAATAAAAGGAAAAATAAAAGGAAAAAAAAAAGGACAACCAATCCAGACTGAAGGAAGTCACAATGTTCAACCACAAATCTTTGAAAAGAAGAAATTGATAAGATTGCCTGGTGTAAACAAACATCTTGAGAGGAACTGAGACCAAATAGCAGAGAACTTGGGGTTGATTTCTATATGCACAAAGAAAACAAGGAAGCTAAAAATAAGACAATTATTAACTCTAGGAAAAACAAAAAAGGTATGAATGAAAGGAAAAGTCATAGTTTAGTACTCGGCTAACCTCTGACTAGCATACACAGTCACAGTAATAGAAACATTAAATACTGATTTAAATAAAATTATGCTGTAACCATATTGATTGTATAGGGGCTGGGAAACGAGCAGCAACACAAGCATGTTATTTAGCCATACGGAGGTAAATGCCAAAGGATCAATTAAACCAAAGAGATGGGAAAGTGAAATGCAGGTTAAGGGACCTGGAGACTAGTGTTTTTCTTAAAATCTTATAGAACCTGTTTACTCATTGTATGCATAGTTAAAAACTAAAGCAAAGAAAGTATCATAAGAGGGGATCATATGGAGACTGACTTACCATCGCTCTCCTTTTAAAAATTCCTCTTTGAGGTATAACTTACATACAATAAATTACACAGGTTTTGTCTGATGAGTTTAGATAAATACATGCATACATGTGCCTAATCACCATCTCAATCTACTATCTCCATCTCTTAATGAACCAAAGATAGCTTATTTTCTTTCCAGCTGGAACAAATGATTTTTTTAAATGAGTAAACCACAAAATAGAGGAGCAGGCTTGCCTTTAGAGGCCAAATACCACCCCCCCAGTGCCTGTCTTTAAACCCAAGAATCAAACTCCATATAGCGAGAGGCTCACACCACGTGAGATGGAAATGAAAGCAACTGAGAGAACAGTGGATTCGTTCTCCTGCTCACTCCAATGGCTACACTCACAAAGCATGATAGACAGAATTGGTCTCATCATTTAAATTGTTATTTTTCACTTTAAAACCCAACTATGCTCTTTGAAGACTCTCTACTTATGGATTTTCTGCCCCTACAATTATTAACACTTAAACTTCACATAAAATGCCACATATAGGGAAATGGATATGGGCATGCAAACTAAGGGAGGGAAGCTGACCAATGCCCCAAACATAATGAAACACTATTAACACTTAAACTTCACATAAAATGCCACATATAGGGAAATGGATATGGGCATGCAAACCAAGGGAGGGAAGCTGACCAATGCCCCAAACATAATGAAACATCCCCCTTTTTTTATTAGAGAAGTTATAATAGCCAATATCCCATATTGGTCTGTGAAAACTATTCTCAATAAATATCTAAGAACATATGAGAATGTAAACATTTGACAGGAAGAGTTCCAAAGCTGCTCTGAAAAAAGGGATGCTGGTACACTATTCTAGAGAGAACCATTTCCATAAAAGCAAGGGATGTAGTTCCAGGAAGAAAATTCCTGCTGAGATCCCTCCCCTACAAATCACATTTCCCCACCTTGGTACAGTATAAGAATATAGTAGTTCCACACCCTGAAGCTTCCAGAAGCTCTGACCGAGCCTACAAAAAAAGAATACATGCTTGCTACCTATTGTACCTTATTGTCAGCTACACGACCTATTGTCATAATATTACTTTTCAGAAACTGGTAATATCAAATGAGTTTATATTGAGTTCATGAGAGGGATGGAAAAATTCTAGGTTTATAAAAGCTATGAAACAGTACACAAGTTAAGGTTTTCCCCTGGATCTCACAAGGTTGTTTGGACAATACTGAAGCAGACCAAAGGAAATCTTATGGTCTTGAGAGAAAAACAACCCAAGCTATGGTGTCTGCCACATTGTTGGTGCAGAGTTTCTTTAATGATTATCTATAGTTTTAATAATTATCCCTGTTACACTATCTAGTGACTAGAAAATCTCATCCATCTGATATTCATTCCCTGGCCTTCAGTAGATGCCCACCTATAGCCCTTACCACTTGTCATCCCAGGGCTCAGGTGGCTGGTTACCTTACATTGTGGGGCTGCTTGTCACAGGACAGCACAGTGTTTGCAATGGACTGCTGCAGGTGCTGCCGTTGCCGCCTCAGAATCTGCTGGAAGTCATCTTCTAGGGTCTGTACTACATAACGCAGAAAAAGGACTCGCCCAGGCAGAGTCTGTCCCTATGGGAGAAAGAACAAGAAGTCAGTCTTTCTTCTCAGTCTCCTGATGACAGTAAGCATTGGGCTCTTATGAATACTAAGCCCAAGAGAAGGCCATGAGTCAACCATTATGTCTATACCTAAAAGGAGGCTCCTGGGAGAGAGCAGGTAGTCTGTGTCACTACAAAAGGACAAATAGGGCAACTGCTAAAAGAATCATACCCAATAACATCTCAGGACCCAATTTTTTGGTTCCTAGGGATTAAGAATAATTTACTTATTCAAAAGATGTACACACCTGAAGTTTATTAGAATGTCCTAACAGCTAAGCTGCACCCAGTGTTCTGCTGCAATCTCTAGAATTGTAGACCTTTTGATTTTAAGAGACAGCCATGGGAAGTCAGTCTTTCTCACTGTACCTATCAACCTCAGAATTAACCCAAAAATATGGACAACATAACAGAGAGAAACTGGTTCTGTAATGACTCTTCTGAGCTGACAGATCAAACAACCAGGATGTCCACCCTACTGCTGAATTTCCAGTAATGTGAGCTGATGCCTATCCTTATTGTTTAAGTAAGTCTCAGTTGGGGATTCTGTTACAGGGCAAATGATCCTGACACAGGTGAAGAGCATGGGCTTTGGTGACACACAGGCCTTATGTTTTTATTGATGCTGTTTGTTTTAAACCTAGCTCTTTCCCTTATTTAACTTACCCCTTTGAGTCTCAGTGTCCTCATAATTTACATGGGGCTAATCCTAACCTTGCCAAAAATAGTGTAAGTATCTGTCATATAGCAGGCAGACATATATAATTCGTTGGTTTCCCTTTACTGGGAGACAAGCATTGGGAGCTCAGGAGCTCAGGCTTTGAAATTTCAAAGAACAAGAAGGCACCAAACTTCTGTTCCAGGGAACTTTCAAACTCCAAGTAGTAGGAATATTGTCTGGGAACAATAAACTCATGGACCAGGTTATGGTTCAGTCAGCAGGAAACAGAATGACCATTCCAAGCAAACACCATTTCTTTATTTTTGGGAGGAGGTGATGATGAGATATCTTTGTCTTCCAACTATGTATATTCTTCTCTAACCCTTAATAGCTGAGACAAATGGTTTTTTAAAAATCACCTACTTGTGCTAGACTTACAATAAGAGAAAGTCACCTACTGATGCCACTTCCCACTACTTCTTGTGTACCCTTAGAGGGAATAATTTTTAACTTTCTTCTGAAAGTCACCCTAAACATTTCTTTTTTTTTTTTTTTTTGACCAGTAAGGGGATCGCAACCCTCGGCACAGTGTGGTCCGCACCACGTTCAGCCAGTGAGAGCACCGGCCATCCCTATATAGGATCCGAACCCGTGGCCTCATTGCTACCAGTGCCGCACTCTCCCGAGTGAGCCACGGGGCTAGCCCCACCCTAAACATTTCTAAAAATATAGACTTTTACTGCTATTTCTTGATTTATCAACATCACACATTATCTATTGGTTTCTGCTGCTCTAGAAAAGAATTTAACTTACTTATGTCTACCCCCCTTCTCTTTCTAAAACAAGTATATCTCCATCATCTACAGACATTGTTTATATTCCATCATCTACAGACAGTATCTCTTGACTCCCCACTTTGGAAGATAACGATATCTGCCCTGCTATTTTCAGAGATCCTGTCCCTTTTTCCTCTCCCAAATATTATCTTCTGTACTTTTCATTTTACACTGTCAAGGCTAATAAAATTGTCTCCTATGCTTTGTATATAAATTGATTCTAAATGTAATTACTAAGCATTATTTACAGTATTAGAATTATGTTAAAATTATTTACCACACTGAAAATCCATACAGTATACTCAGAAAATCATTCCTTTCTTGTAAATTTTTAAATTTTTTTCCTCCTTCCCTTCATTGCCTGCCATTATAACATATTTCCAGGGCTGGCTGGTTAGCTCGGTTGGTTAGAATGCTGCCTTGAACACCAGGGTCAAGGGTTCTGATCCCTATACTGGCCAGCTGCCAAAAAAAACCACACAAAACCTACTTCTTTCAACTCCTCAAGAATGGTGTTAAATTTTGAGAATACCCTTCTTTCCCAAATTGTTTTTTTTTTAAATTTTAAAAACAACTCTATTGACATACCATAAAATTCAATAATTTTAAATGTACAACTCAATGATGTGTGGGAAACTTACCAAGTTCTATTTTTAGAACATTTTCATTACCCCAAGAAGATCCCACACACCCATTTACAGTAAATTCCCTTTCTAGTCCCCAGCCCAAGGCAACTACTCTAGGTTTGTCTTTTCTGCACATTTCATATACATAGATACAATATGTGATGTTTTGTGTGTGGTATCTCTTACTTAGCTTAATGTTTTTTGAGGTTTGTCTATGTTATAGCATGTATCAATAGCTAATTCCTTTTTATTACTGAATAGCATTCTATTGAATATAGTACATTTTGTTTATCCATTCATCACTTGATGGACATTTGGTTTGTTTTCACTTTTTGGCTATTATGAATAATGTTGATATGAACATTCACATGCAAGACTTCAGTTGACTTGTTTTTATTTTTCTTGGGTCTATGTCTAAAAGTGGAATAGCTAGGTTGTATGATAAATTTATGTTTAACTTTTTAAGAAACTGCCAAACTGTTTTCCAAAATGGCTGTACCACTTATATTACCATCAGCAATGTACAAGACTAACTGTTCTCCATTCTTGCCAATGTTTGTATTGTCTATTGTCTTTTCCTTAAAAAAATTTTTAAATTTGTGACAAAAAACCCCAGTTCAGTATATTCATATAGTTGTGAAAAAGGTTTCCATAACTTTTTATATTGCAAAACTAAAAGTCTATATCCATTGAACAATAACTTCCCATTTCTCATTCCCCTCCAAGCCCCTGGTAACTACTGTTTCTATGAATTTAACTACTTTTTATACCTATATAAGTAGAATCACACAGTATTTGTCTTTTAGTAACTGCCATATTTCACTTAACATAGTGTCCTAGAGGTTCATACATGTTTATAGCACGTGATAGGATTTACTTCCTTTTTAACACAGAATATTCCATTGTGTGAATATACCACATTTTGTTTGTCTATTCATCTGTCGATGGACATTTGGATTCCTTCTACCTCTTGGCTATTGTTAAGTAATGCTGCTATGAATGTGGCTATGTAAATATCTCTTTGAGAACTTGCTTCCAATTCATTTGCATATATACCCAGAAATGGGATGGTGGATCATATAGTAATTCTGTTTTTAATTTCTTGAGGAACCACCATAGCAGCTGCACCATTTTGCAATCCCAACAAAGATGCACAAGGTTTCCAATTTCTCCACATTCTTGCCAACACTTATTTTCTATTTGTTTTTATAGTAGCCATTCCACTGGGTATGAAGTGATACTGCACTGTGGTTTTGACTTGCATATCTCCAATAACTAGTGATATTGAGTATGTTGTCAGATGCTTGTTGGTCATTTGTATATCACCTTTGGAGAAATATCTATTCAAGTCCTTTGTCCATTTTAAAATCAGTTTATTTGTTCTTGAGTTATAAAAATTCTTAACATATTCTGGATATTAACCCTTATCAGATACATGATTTACAAATATTTTCTCCCATTCCATAGGTTGCCTTATCCCTCTATTGATTACTCTATTTTTCTATTTTCTATTTTTGTTGTTTCGCTCTATTGATGCATATAAGCTTTATAGTTTGATGTTGTACAACTTGTCTATTATTGCTTTTGTTTCCTGTACTTTTGGTGTCATAGTCAAAAAATCAATGCCAAATCCAGTGTCATAAAGTTTTTCCCCTATGATTTCTTCTATGAGTTTATATGAGTTTTGTATAGTTTTGAGTCTTACATTCAGGTCTTTAATCCATTCTGAATTAATTTTTGTATATGGCGTAAGATAAGAGTCCAACTTCACTCTTTTGCATATGGATATTGTTTTCCCAGTGCCACTTGAAGAGACTATCCTTTTGCCACTGAGACGTCTTGGCACCCTAATGAAGATCATTTGACCATATATGCAAATGTTTTATATATATGTATATTTATTTCTGGGCTCTCTATTCTATTCGGTATGTCTCTATGTCTATCTTTATGACAGTACAACACTGCTTTGATTACCATAGCTTTGTAAGATGTTTTAAAGTCAAAAAGTGTGAGAACTCCAGCTTTGTTTTGTTTTTCTCTAAGATTGTTTTGGTTTCTTGTGTCCTTGTCTGATTTTGGTATCAGAGTGATGCTGGCCTGATAAAATGAGTTTGGAAAAATTCCTTCTTCCTCAAATTTTTAAAATAGTTTGAGAAAAATTGGTATTATTTCTTCTTTAAAAGTTTGGTAGAATTCACCAGTGAAGCTATCTGGTCTGGGCTCTTTGTTGAGAGACTGCTGATTACTGATTCAATCTCATTACTCATTATTGGTCTGTTCATGTTTTTTTTCCCCCCTAATTATTTCAAGATACTCAATTTTTAAAAAAGGTCACAGTGCTAAGCTTTTGGCCCATTCTGCCATTGTACAAGCTATAAATGCTTGCTTAGCAGCCAAGGGGCACTCTTCAGTAGTATGTTTGAAAAGTGAATAAAAATCCATATAAAACAAATATTCAAATAGTTTCCATAGGAACACAGATAAGTGTGACTCTATCTCCTAGTCTTCCATGTTTCTGCACCTGTGCCAACCCTAGTCTTACAAAGACTTTCCAAAACTAGCAGTAATTAAGTTAAATGGTCCCCTCAAAGCCCTTAATTCAAGCTAAACTCATAGTTAACAGCTACCAGAATGGTATCTACAAATTAATACTAGCAGAAGCATGTTGCTGGGTGATGTTCATTCCACTTTCCCAAGCACCAGACATAGGGAGAGGTCTGATGTCCTGCTCCTCTACTTCAGGTGGGAAGTGATGGTTCTGGATCTGCTGCATGAGTTCCCATGCTGGTCCTGACATTACATAATAGACGGTTGGCCTCTGGAATCCATTGAAAGTAGAAGCAGTAGC